CAAACATTGCCACTCTGATGGGGCCAGTGAGGAGACAAAGGATGATGGTGCTGAAAGCATGAAGACCTGTGGGGCTCAAATCCTCATACCTTGGAAGAGGAAATGGGGAGGGAAGGTTGGGTGCAGACAGGTCCACTGGATCACAATGGTAGGGGGTTCCAAGGCATGACAGGGTATGGGACGTGGGTGACTTACTCAAGGAAGCCAGCCTTGTGCTTCTGCTCATTGTGAGGTCCAAACTGGATCTGGCATTGGAAGCCTGCAAACTCACAGGCCTTGTCAAAGGAGACAGGGTGGGAGCCATTCAGGATGTCATCTCGCGCCTGGAGACCACAGAAGGAACGAACATTGCATGGGTGCAGGGACAGCCCTGTCTCTGCCTCCCCTACCCCATCTCACCCCGTCCAGGTCTACTCCATACCTGCACATAGAGAAGGTTCAGCTGTACAGGGTCCCGGGAATCCACATTCTGGTCTGAGTAGAAGAACTTTCTCCGCAGCAGCAGCGTCTCATGCTCTTCTACCCCCTGTTCCCTCAGTGTCCGCCCGTGGTCCAGCCAGTTCACTGGAGCACAGACAGTACCCTTAGCACCAACCCCATATGGCCCTTGTGCTGCCTCGTGTCTGGGCTTTCACTTCTTCATACCGGCCTTTCCTCATCAAAATGTAAATTCCATGACTCAGGGCAAATACAGAATAAATGGCTGCCCTACCCCCCCTCCTTTTCCAAGGACCCCTTTGGTTCTGCTTACGTTCATCATCTGTGTGCAATTTCTGCTTTAGTTTCTCCATCTTTTTTTCATCTCGCAAGAGGGTCTTGTCTTTTCTTAGGGTCCCTGTCCCCTCGTCCTTTTTCTCTTCCATCAGCTCTCGAACCAGTGAATATTCATCATGGTTGGTAATGCCTAGGGAAATGGATGGCTTGGTAACTCCAAGCACAAAAGTCTTTTGACAGAGTTGGAACCTCCCTGCCCAGGCCTTTGCCCTCCCAAGACCCCTTACCAATTCGGGCACAGATAGTCATGAGCATGTCAGTGACTGTCTTGGAGTCATCCACCATGATAGTCTTCACGGTTCCATCCAACATCCGGATCTTCAGGGGTCTCTGTTTCTTCCTGTACTCCATGGTGTCCTGTTGGAGCGGGGAAATGCAGTCAGGGCCTACTTAAACTAGTTCTCTTTATTGTCAAGGAGAAGGAAAGTAGATTACTGAAAGGAAGACTATGGTGGCTCAGCCAAAAAGAGGGTGCTTTCACCGCCTGTCATAGAAAGCCACATGGGCATGCTAGGGGTAGTGGGCCTGGTACATGCAAAGCCCAGGGTTGGGGGAAGGAACTGGTGTGAGGGAAGAGTAGCAGATATAGTGGTGGAAACAAGTGAGACACTGGTTAGAGGAAGCAAGTGGTCACTGAGGAAGATACTCACCCCATTTCGGAGCATGTAGTAGTCCAAAGCTTTCCCAGCCTCTAGCCATATACCTTTCTTGGGGTCATCATCTGACAGAAAGAGCCCAAAGTCGCTGGCTAAAAGAGATGGTAGATCACCTTAGACTTATAAAACCTCCACTGTGGCCAAATAGCTATACCATTGCCTTTGTATATAATTTTCTCCTAGGACCTTGGACTTAAAGAGGAGAAGAAACACCAGGTGGTGGTGACACATGCCTTTAATCCCAGTACTCAGGAGGCAGAGGCTGGTGGATCTCTGTGAATTTAAGGCCAGCCTGGTCTACAAGAGCTAGTTCCAGGACAGGCTCCAAAGCACAGAGAAACACGGTCTTAAAAACAACAACAACAAAAAGACAAACAAACAAACAAAAAAAGAGGAAAAGAAACATTGGAACAATTGGAGCATAGGCTTAAGAGATAAAGAGTCTCAGAACACAACGCAGACACTGAATAAGGGATGGAAGATTCCTGCCCCCCACCACCAGGGTAGTCACACTCACGAGGGCCAGCCAGGGCCTCTGGGATCCGCTCACGAATCATGCGGCAGGCATCATACACCATGGTAGATGGCTCAAACTGCATCGTCTTCACCACATTCCCGATGCTGATCTTCAGCGAAAGTGCAACCATAGTGGCGGCTTTGACTCTTCAGCCTGGCTATACCTGGCCTGTGACATCAGAGCATTAGAACATACTCTCACTGGAGTCCCCAAATGGTCCCAGGCAGAGGACTCTTAAGGGACTCAACTGCAACCAAGAATTATAATAAGTTGTTTTGCCCTATTTAATAATTTCAAAAGGGAAAGGTTACTTCTATCAAGTGATCTATCTCGATCACTGAAGACGTCCCAGAGAGAGGCTGGTCTCTGGAGAACAAGAGCAGGCCTGAAATGCGGTGTCACCTGAGGACACTGTCCTGCCTGCACCACTGGAATTCGTACCTCTCTGGTTCCAAGTGCCTCGGGCCTCTTGTTCCTGCTCTCCTCTTTTTCCAACCCTTCCTCTGCCTTGTTTTTTTTTTCCTTGTCTTCGTCTCCCATTCTATCCTGTGATTTTCAGAGCGCTGCCCTGGCCCATTTGTGGCCTTCCCTCTCATAGCTTTCGCCTTCTTGGCAAAATGCAGAATCCCAGGGGCTCCAGAATCCTGCAGTCTGTGGCCAGCATTGTCAGGGAGAGACCTACTTCTGTGCCTGCTCTCTCCCAACCTGAATGGTATAGGCTCTCCCAGTGAGCTGTGCAGTCAAGGTGGAATTATGATCCTCTGTCTGTAGACTTCAGAAATGACCTCGCCAACACTTCTTGGAGAGGAGAAAGTTTGAGGCAAGCAAGACAGCATCCAGACCTTTACACCCAGCCGTTGGTCCTTACCAAGGCTTTCTTGCACTCACTCTCTCTTGTTCAAGTCCTTCTCAGACTATCCTCCACCTTAACCAGGTACCCAGACAATGCTTTCAGTGCAGCTCAGCATTGCAAAGCCAACTCATTCCTCTACCTTTCAGCCACTACTTCTCAGTGGGCTAAAGAAGCCACAGTGAGCAGCAGGTTACATACAGGCCTGCCCAGGAGCTGATGATGTGACCTGATGTGGTATGGGGCTGAGTGCCTCTTAATGAAGAGGGAAGGGAGGGAAGGCAGCCTCCCATCCTCCACCTAGCAAACTGCTAGCCCAAGGGTGTAAGCTGGACTGGGAAACAGGTGGGTATCATGATACAGAAGGCACCTGAAAACCAGGTAAACTAGGAAAGGGTAGAGGATAAAGAAGTTGGGAAAGATGGGGCAGGAGAGCAGAAAGTCTTGATAGAAACCAGACACAGATGTAGGAAATACCAGGATCGGTGACCAGGATAAGGTTTCTGATCATACATACAGTCCAGGACTGCAGGAGAAGAGGCAGAGTTTGTTCTCCATCTTTACCCCAAATGAGAAGATCCTCCCAGGCCCCCCGCCCCCCCATTCATAGAGGACCATTTTCAGTAGTGGACAGACCTGGTTGTCAGCGAGACAGCAGTGCGAGGAACCAGAGCAGGAGTGAGAGGCCAACGCAGCCCAAGCTGAAGCTGCATGAACGCCCCTCCTCCCCGTTTCCTCCGGACATATGGATACCCACTTCTTCCTCTGTGAGACCCCGATAACAGAGCCGAGTCATGCCTGCCCTAACTTCCAGACTGGCTGTAGGTAGCTATCCACACAATTCATTGAGAGTGAAGGGATGTCAAGGACTTGGACACTGAATTGGGACTAGTGGCAAACAAGACTCCTGGAACTATTAGTAGAAGCTGTCTGCTTCCTGTCCCGAACTGAGAACCCTGGCCCACTTTCTATCATGTTTTATGAACAACAACAACCCCCCCTCCATGTCCCCCTCCCAGAGAACTCCTCCTCCCTCAATACATTCCTGAGATGCATTCCAGAGGCGTTGGGCAATTGGTGGGGGGGAGTGGAGGACAGGAGGTCAAAACCCAGCAAGGAATGGAATGCAAGTATACTAGAGCTAAGGAATTTTGGGGTACAGGGAAACTATCACCAGTGCAGGTACCCACAAGAGGGAACCACAGAAAGATAGGGAGCTGCGAAAGGGCACATAGGGAAAGAGAAAGCCGAACACAGAGTCAAAATGTAAGAGGGTTGGGGGAATAACACTCAGTCTGTTACCAAATTTGGCCTCTGAGTCCTCAACCGCTGGGAGGGGGAGGGGTTTGTGGGTGAGACTGACATATCCGGCCTCGGGCTGCTGGAGGCTCATTTAAGGCTGGACTGGGCAGCTGATGGGCTGGGCCTGACTTCCTCCAGCATAGGGTCTGCATATCCATACAAGCAAACTCACTCTTCCCCAAGTCCCCTCAGCCTGCACCCAACTCCTTCCCACAGAACTACTTATGCTGTCCCTACATAGACCTTATCGCGGTCTCACAGCTTCTACACAAGATGTATCTCTTGAAGGCACCACACGCGCGCACACGGCTTCCTCACCAGTGCACCAGGCCCCGATGCCAGGTTCCCAACCCCTCCCCTTCCATTATGCACACATTTTCCCTCCGCGCATTTTTGAGGGCCCATTGTGGGAAGGCCTGGGCCAAACTTTCAGTGGCTGGAAACCAAGGTGAGTAAGACCTAGACTTTGCTTTCTGTAGGTTGCCAGCCTTCCAGGTGGGTGGATAAGCTAAACACAGAGTTACAACAGAGGGCAGAATATGAAAAGAGCCAAAATGTGTATACTCAGAAAAGGGATGGATCCCTTCAGGTTAGGGCACAGGGACCAGGGTACCCATGAGAGGGATTATTTGAAGACAGGACTTTAAAAACATGGAGATAATGGAAAGTAACAGTGATGTGTCATTTATTGACTATGTTAATTGCACTGTATACATAATATCGGTTAATCCTTCAACAACCATGCAAGGTAAGTGCCATTGCTCTCATTTTTACAGATTAGGCACCAAGGTTCAAGAATGTTAAATACTTTTCCAAAGTACTTGTCCAAATAATAAGTTGTGAAGCCAAGATCCAACCAGGTCTCTTTGACTCCAAAGCCCAAGCAAGCTCTCTCTTTTAGGTCAGTGGAAGACACGTCAGAGGCAGCATCCCAGGCAGAGAGAATGGCATGAGCAAAGGTGGAGAAGCAGGAAATCGTGGAGGAACGTTCGGGAGGGTGAGCAGGCAAACTGGCTGAAGCACAGCGATCTGCAAGGAGCAGTGGTGGGGAAGGCAGGGTTAAGATGGAGAGGCAAAGGCTGAGAGAAGAGTATGAGGAACTTAACTGACGGGAGCGGAACAGGAGGTCAAGGAACTTTGTGCAGGGACACCCCCAGAACTGGACTTTTGGGCAACTTTGGGGCCAGGTTAGGAGGACCCTGTATTAGTACAAGGGATAATGAAGCCAGAGTTAAAGCTGTGTGGAGAGGAGGCTGCCATTCATAAGAAAAACCTGAGGGAGGAACTGATGAGCCTCCTCTGCTCCCAGAAGCCTCAGCCCAGGGGCAGTCTCCTATGAGCAGCAGGCCTTTATTAACGAGACAGCTCCAGTTAAGTAACACAATGAGAGAAAGGGATGGGGCTAGATTGGGCTGGGGATGCGAGACGAAGCTGTGGGGGGCGGGGGGAGGGATGTGATGGGACAGTATGTGAAGGTAGAGGCAGATGGGTGGAGCTACTGACCACATCAGGCTGCGACAGGAGAGGACTGGGGAAGACAGAGGGGAGGTGATGATGAGAAACAGACAAGTGTGATGGTGACGGACCAGATGGGGAAGAGCAAGAGTGACTCCATGGATGGTGACTAACTGGGACATGACAGCAGGAGGTCAGAGGCCAGGTCATGAGCTTCAGAAGAGCGAGGGATGTGGTAAGTGGCTAAGTTAGGCTGCTGCTGGGGTAGTGGAGGGTCACTGGCAGCGGCTAAGTAATGCTGGAGTGGGGAGGAGGGGCAGCTTGGGGTAGAGCCAAAGGCTGAATCAGTCTGGATAGGGGATAGCGTTGTGGTCAGTGGCAGGGTCAAGCTGGTAGTGACACGGGGGTGTGGTCAGTGGCCTGGCTGGGCGTGGGATCAGTAAGACCCAGTTTCCTCTTTGGGTATCATTTCCTCTTTTCCGTTGGGGATGGGGGAAGGGGATCTATAACTGGACCTAGACGTTAAAGGAGGGTCAGAAACCTGGGGGGGACACACAGCAAGAGCTGGGAGGCGGGGGTCCAGCAGCTGACCAGGTGGCGCGCCTGAGAAAGTGCTTTATGATGATGGGAAAGCTCAAATTTGAGCGACAGAAACTAAAGTAGGGTGTGTGGATGAACAGATGGGGAAAGAGGATGAGAATGAAGAGTTAAGATGGACAACCAGGAAAGAGCTAAAGGCCAGGAAAGATTCTATAAGGAAGTGTACAGGGTGTGCATTTTAGGGCCAGGGGCAAGAGGCCAGCAGGGCAGGGAGGTAACGAAGCTGTATGGTTAAACTGTGGGAGCTCAGGTGAAACAGTGTTTGCCTGGCCAGCTTCCCCTTCAGTCATGGCCTCCTCTCTCCCAGTCTTCCCCACAGTCTGACTCCTGGGTCGCTTTCCAGTTCCCACCTTCCACCTAGTAAAAGGCGTAAATCTAGAAACTCCTGCCTCCCAGTGATGGTAGCCCCAGGAAGTCCCTGGTCCAGGTATCAGCAGTTCTAGCTGGAGCCCAGACTGTCGCCTCTGGGTAAAAGAAGCCTCTGTGATTACACCGGAATAAGGGACCTCACCACGAAACAAAGGCAGCTACGTGCTGCCAGCCTCTCACGTTTTTACCTGTTCAACTGCGGCTGCAAAGTTCAACCCCTATCGCTGCCACCCGTTCCTAACATTAACCCTGACTTTGTTTACAAATTCCCCAGACTTTGTCATTCATCCCTTCCACAGTAGACACCCAAACTAATCTAGCTTTTATTTTTAGGCCTAAATCCCTCGACTTTAACCCTAAATACTGAACCTTAGTCCTGAAGCTTATTTTTTAACTTGCTTCCTAATTCACCTTTCCACTGTTTATTCTTAATTCTAACCATGACAATGGCCTTTAATCCCTAAAACGGGCTATGTCAATTCCTGTTGTTGATCCTTAACCCGATCCTGTACTCTGATATACGCTGGTCATACCATAAAACAAAATAATGACCTCAATCTAAATGTCAACTAAACGAAACAGACTTGACTAGTGCAGCTAATGTTTCAAATTTAGTCCAGCTTCATAACTTCTAAAGGGATCCCCGCTTCCTAAAGTCGACCGCACCTAATCCCAAACTCACCCAAAGCTTTCCTAACCATATACTCACTATCTGCTAACACCAAAGGACATCCCCGCCCAGCGCCTCACTGCCACCCCATTCCTCACCCTCCCCCAAACCTAGCCGAGACAGAGAACCGTCTGCTCCCACGAAAGGGGCCTGCCTCTCGCCACACGGCTAGCTTAACTCCAAACCCCAAACGAAACGCACTGGACGCTGACCTCCCCAACAGGACCGGACACAGGATATGCAGGAGGATGGGGGGCCCCGCCCGCCCGCCGCTTCCCGGGCTGGCCTGTCCCCGCAGCCCCACCTAGAAGCTCCAGCCCGGCCCGCCGCCTGGCCTACCTGCGCTGCCGGCTCTGTGCCCCGCCCGCCGGCCCGCTACCCGCTCGTTCTCCGGGTCGCTCTGGGGCTCCGGCCTCGCCCTCCCTTCGACACTCTGGTCCACTTCCGTCCTGGAAACGTCCCCCACCCGCCGGCGGCGCCCTGGGCCCGCGCTCTATGGTCGCGGAGACGTCATGAAGCTACTCTAGCCGCAGCTCTCGATGCTCGGGCGGGCGCTCGCTGAAGCCTGGCCGCCCCTCCCCGGCAGGAAGCGAGAGTACAGCGCTCTGGAGAGAACGCCAGAACTAAACTAGAGTTCCCTTTTAGACTCTTAGTCTTCTTTTTTTTCTAGCTGGAGGCGAAGGCGGAGCCGGATCCCCAGAATCCCCGCCCTGGGGTGTGGGAAACTGTAGGGACGTCCCTCAATTTGCATAGCTCCCGGGACGTGGCGCAGCTCACGAGCCACTTCCGAGTAGGAGGGAACTCCAAGTTCCAAGATGCCATTGGGCTGGGCTATTGATTGCATCTTTTCCGTTGTGTTGGAAGCTGAGGAGGCTAGAAGCTGGGAGGCGGCTGTGGTTTACTGTAACCATTAGGCCCTCGGCCCTGCCCTCCGGAGAAGGGTGACTAAGGTAAGTCGAGCCGATTTGACAGTTAGACTGAGGGGTCGTGCCTAAGGTTCCGAGATTGTATCTGCGCTCAGGGATTTCTATCCGTGGATAATGGAAATGGATCCTGGTGGTCAGGACCTGCTGGCTTTGGATCTTGATGATCAAGACGTGCAGGACTTCCTGCTAGAGGAAAGCGGAGATTTGTGGACTGCGATCGAGCAGGACGTGGAGGCTCCGCTGGACCTGGAGCTGTCACCTTCCGAGGTGGGTAGGTGTTCTGAGTGGGAAAGCGAAGCGACGTCCGTGAGACCCAAAGGTACAGAGATAAACCAAGGCCTGTGAATTTGTTAGAACTCCGGGCAAGGCCTGAGCGACTGGGAGATAGAGGACTTACTGAGCTCTCTGCTCAGTCCCTCGGCATCTCTGGATGGTCTCAGTTCCGCCATCTCTTCTATTCGCCACGACCACAACTACTCCCTCTCACAGGACCATGTCTCCATAGATCTAGGTGGGTGTGAAATGTTAAGTTGTGGGGGAGGAAAGAGCTCACAGGCCTAGCCAACCCGACTTTCGCTTTTGCAGATCCTGAGAACTTCGAAAAGGAGGGGTTCTGCGTGACTCCACTGTGTGTGGAGGAAACAGCCACAGAACAGGTACTGGGCTTGGGTTTTCAGGATCAGCTCACCTTGCAGGACTGGGGTCAGATTCCCCCATTCTTCTCTGACATCCCCATGCAACCCTGCTCTCCTCTGTGTCCTCCAACCTTAGGGGATTTCTAGGCTGATACTGACTGAGGAAGAGAAGAGGCTCTTGGAGAAGGAGGGGATTTCTCTGCCCTCAACACTTCCTCTCACTAAGGTAAGGTTCCTGTTGCTGGAGCAAAACCTGGAGGGGGATTTATGGCCCAAGTAGGCAAATTCAGTTTATTTCATATCAGTTACTTAAAAAAGGACTGAGGTCAGAATCCAAGCAAACTTGTTGCTAGCGGGAAATTGGGTCGCGTAGATAATAGGCAAGAAGCAAGAGCAGTTCCTGATCTTGTAGGGCTTATATAAGTTTTGGTGTTCCTTTCAAAATTACCAGTGTGTGGCTTGGTTGGAAAAGGCCCTTGCTGCCCTGCCGGACCTAGTATCTGTCCCCAGGACCCACAGGATGCAAGGAGAGAACTGACTTCCTACTAGTTTTCTGATCTCCAAACAAGCCCACACCCACATACAAAAATAATTTTTGAATGTCAGCTAACATTACTATAGGGCCTTGAAAACGCCAGCAAATGAAGGGCCTTTACGGATATCATCATGACCACCCCACCTCTTGCTCAGTGGTAGAAATGTCTGAGAGTCTGAACCAGCCTAACAAAACAGTTGTCAAAGCCGGCCATGATGGCTCACACCTCTCTTGTCCCAGCACTCAGAGGCAGAGACAAGAAGGTCCTCGTATGTACATTCAAAGCCATTTCCCAAGTGCTGGGATTACAGGCAGACACTACATCTAGCTTTCGTGGCAAGTATTTTTATGTCATTTTTATTTTTAATGTTTTTGGTTATTGAATTGTTTGTTTTTCTTTTTTTTTTTTTTTTTTCAAGACCAGGTTCTGTGTAGCAGCTCTGGCTGTCCTGGAACTCACTTTGTAGACCAGGCTGACCTCACTGAGATCTGCCTGCCTCTGCCTCCCAAGTGCTAGGATTAGAGGTGTGCATTGCCACTACCACCCAGCCTCATGGTATCTTTGGTTAATGTAGATGTTTATTTATGGCTGGAGAATCAGGAGTTAAAGGCCAGACTTAGCTTCAGGACGAGTACAGGCAAGCCTGGGCTACGTGAGACACTGTCTCCTGTCCCTCCACCACCATTACAAGATGAGTGAGTAAAATATTAGTAAGAAAGAAAAGAGAATTTGGAAATGATCAGTAGTGGTGCTGTCCTTAGGACGGTGACTGTCATGTTCTCCTTGCTACTGGTCAGACCACACCTTAATCCCCCACCCATTTCGAGTTGAATATAACACCTCCTGCTACATCCTCAGTCCTGCTTTTTGAGAGATGGGCTTGTAAGCCCAGGCTGGGCTGGCCTTAGACTGTGTACTGGCCTCAGACTTTGAACTCCTAATCCTCCTCCTACCTCCCTAGGACTAGATTACAGGTGAATGATATCACTCTTGGCTAGTGTCCAGATTTGACAAGATAATATAAGAGTTAACAACTTCACTCAATTTTAATTTCTGGAAAAAAAAAAGCTTAAGTGGCTTAAAATAAGGATTTATTCTATATAACCCCAGAGACTATAGGTAAATCCAATGGAGAGAAATTATGAGAAGATTCATGTTGGCTTAGGATAAGAATGGATTTTTGTTGTTGTTGTTGTTCTTAGTTTTGAAACCGGTTTTATGTAGCTCAGTCTGGCCTCAAACTACTCTAGCCAAGGATGGTCTTGAAGTCCTGATCTCCTCCCTCTCCCTCTCAAGTGCTGAGATTACAGGCATGTGCTAACCCCTAGCTTAAGAGGAATTTTTTAAAATTTAATTAGAGACTGGAAAGTGGTTTAGAGCACTTTCTGTTCTTCTACGGGGTTCAGGTGCAAGCCCCAGCACCCACATGATAGCTCACAACTGCCTATAACTCCAGTCCTAGGGGATCTGACACCCTCTTCTGGCCTATGTGGGCAGCAGGCAGACACATTATATACAGACATACATATAGGCAAAACACCCATACACATAAAAGTAATACCAAAAAGTAGTCTGGCTTTTGAGTGTTGAACACCTGGTCCTTGGAGACATACACAGAGAAGGTGGATGTGTACTATTCAGAGAAGCTGCAGTCTTTCACTGGGAAGAAGGCTAGACTTAGTTGCCTTCCAACACACCTATATAATACGCTATGTATATAACAGTACACCTTGGATGACCTTTTTTCCCATCTTCTCTTAGGTGGAAGAACAGGTTCTAAAACGCGTACGGAGAAAGATTCGCAACAAGAGAGCTGCTCAAGAAAGCCGCAAGAAGAAGAAAGTGTATGTCGGAGGGCTGGAGAGCAGGTAGGGAAGAAAGAATATGGGGGAAACCGGAGGCTTTAAGGTTTTTAATATTTTTTTTGAGTATTCAATATTCACAGGCAATATTTTGATATTCATGTTATCCTCCAGGGTCTTGAAATACACAGCCCAGAATCAGGAGCTGCAGAACAAAGTACAACTTCTAGAGGAACAGAATCTGTAAGCAACCATTTATAGTCATTTTTAAAAATCTTGTTTTTTTTTTAAATCTTTTTTTTAATATTTATTTATTTATTTATTATGTATGCAATATTCTGTCTACATGTATGCCTGAAGGCCAGAAGAGGGCACCAGACTTCATTGCAGATGGTTGTGAGCCACCATGTGGTTGCTGGGAATTGAACTCAGGACCTTTGGAAGAGCAGGCAATGCTCTTAACCACTGAGCCATCTCTNGTGAGCCACCATGTGGTTGCTGGGAATTGAACTCAGGACCTTTGGAAGAGCAGGCAATGCTCTTAACCACTGAGCCATCTCTCCAGCCCTTGTTTTTTTTTTTTTTTTTTTTTTTTTTGAGACAGGGTTTCTCTGTGCTTTGGAGCCTGTCCTGGAACGAGCTCTTGTAGTCCAGGCTGGCCTCGAACTCACAGAGAGGCCTACCTCTGCCTCCTGAGTGCTGGGATTAAAGGCATGTGCCACCACTGCCTGGCTTAATCTTTATTATTTTTTTTTTTAACAATTTTTACTTTATATGCATTGTTGTTTTGCCTGCACGTATGTCTGTGTGAGTGTCAGGTCCTCTGGAACTGGAGTTACAGCTGTGAGCTGCCATGTGGGTGCTGGGAATTGAACCTGGGTCCTCTGGCAGAGCAGTCAGTGCTCTTAACTGCTGAGCGAACTCTCCAGCCCCCACACTAATTTCTTAATGCTTTCTCACTCTTTCCACTGTTCCACACTTGACTTCTAACTAGATAGCTCCTAAGTACAAAAACCTGGTGGTTGGCCTTACCAGGTCTCAAGCTCAGAGCAATGGGAAATAAATTTACAAGTAGCTAAAGAGAAATTAAGTATCAAGATAAAGAAAGGGAAGGAAGCAAAGACCAAATGGAGGTGGTTGGCATCAGAGCAGCTACGATTTGGGCATGGGACTGGGTAAGGGAAACATTCTAGGTGGAGAGAAGACAATGTTTGTGTTCAGCTGGAACTCTCTAGCATGGTGGTGGTGTCCCAGAAAGTAGAGAACACAGTACCTGGTGAGGATTGCATGCATAGTTGATCTGGTGTTATGAGAATTCTGAAAGGCATTTGCAAAGGGGTTTAAGTCAAGGCAGCAAAGTTTTGATTTTTTGTTTAAATAAGGAACAGGCAGTTGTTCACAAAGGAGAAGTCACTTGGGAACAAAAGGCAAGGAAGTCGAGGGACTGGATCTTCTGCGCTAGTGGAGGGGGTGGCTAAAGTGGAAGGGTTTCACTGTGACTCGGGTGCTCGGCCAGGGCATGCTCACCACTGTGTCCTCTCTCCCTTAGGTCCCTTCTAGACCAACTGAGGAAACTTCAGGCCATGGTTATTGGGGTAGCGAACAAGAGCAGCAGCGGCAGCACATGTGTTCTGGTGAGGAGGAGGACGGGAGATCCTGTCCTGGGCAGAGACAGGGTGGTGACCACAACCCTCACCTCCTTCTTCTTGTGTTCCAGGTCCTGCTGTTCTCTTTCTGCCTTCTTCTTGTACCCGCTATGTACTCCTCTGACACGAGGGGGAGTGTGCCAGCTGAGTATGTGGGTAAGAGGCTTAGGGACACCTTTAAGGCATGGGCTGTGGTAAAGGGCTTCTTCTGTGTTGTCTCTTGACAAGCCTTTGTCTCTTCAGTTTTGCACCGTCAGCTCCGTGCCCTCCCCGGTGAGGACCAGGATCAGATGAAGCTGCCTACCCAGCAGTCAAAGGTACCGACGGACAGCACAAACCAGCTACTGGGTAGCTCAGAACATACGCTCCAGGCCTCCGGCAACTTTACCTGCCTGCTGTACGACGCGCCTCAAGCAGAACCACCTCTGCGCTGGCCACACTTTGATCTTTCCTCAGAGACCCCCTTTGCAGGCCCTGACCATCCCCTGCAGGCAAATCTTTCAAATGAAGAGGGGTGGCTGCCTACCCACAGCCCTTCTGTCATCTTGCAGGGCAGGTTTTCAGGTTAGATATAATAGCATGGGGGATCCTCAGCCTGAGGGTTCCTGTCTGTATTCAAGTAAGACGGAATGGGGGAAGAGCTGGCCTTTGCTCCTGTGCCCTGTTAGGATGCCTGGGAACTCAAACACACCACACTTACTAGATTTATGGGTCTTTTATTTATGCCTATGTGTATCTGTTGTTCCATGAATAGACTTGGAGAAATTTACTGGCCTTGACTATTTCATCCACAGAAGGAACGGGTAGGGTAAGAAATAAATAAGTGGTTCTTCAGCCCCTTCTTACTGGCACAGTTGGGTAGGAAGAAGGGAAGGGGCATGATTGTCCTAGTGGCTCAGGGCTGCAGGAGTTGTGGGAGGAAGGAGGAGAGACCAGTGTGGGTGCTGGGCTTCCACAGTTCAGAGGGATCACTCTGGACTTAGGTTTATCCAAGATTTCTTTGGTCCATACTCAGTCTCTGTGCTTAGTCCTACGCCCTGTGTGACGACTGGCCTGCTACCCTTTTTATGCTGCTGCTGTTGCAGGGCCAGCTGCATGGCCCAGATGCTCAGTGGCCGCATGTAGGCCAGTGAGCGGAACACTCGCTGCTGGCAGTAAGCCTCTGGGGTCTGGAAAGCCAGGCCCAGACGTTCCCATACGGTGCGGTAACAGCCTTCAGCTGTTCGGAAACCTTCCCAAGTCAGACCCTGTGGGGAGAGGTAGAAGCACACATAATAACTGGCTCCCATGGTACAATTATCTCTGGTGAGCAGATAAGATAGTATGCCTTTTGCTCCCAGGTTAGAACTAAAGGCAAGAGGTGGAACACATACCAGGGAAAAGGGGACTCAGTGGATGGATAAGATGACTTTAGGATGTTCTAAGAATAAATGGAAGTTTTCTGGACCACAGTACAAGTGGTGAAGGGATGGGAAAGAGAATACATTACCTCTTGGATCATGGTGGCTGCCAGCCCGTAGACCACACCCACCCAGACTTCATCAGACTGCACACTGGATCTGTCGGGAACACCATGAGGCTGCATCCCATTCACAGCCCCCATAGCTCCTCCTGCAAAGGCCTGGACATTGAGCTCGAAGATGGTTTGGAGAGCACGGACCACGTGCAGGGTAGGAAATACCTAGGGGAAGAGAAAAGGCAGAGAGAGAGTCTCTTATACTTGCTTCCCACCTCCAGGGAAACCCATCTTTCTGGCTTTTCTAGTCTCTCACCTCAGTGTCTCCTTCTCCCAGGCCGCAGGCCCTCAGAAACCACTGCCCAGCACACTGGTCAGACATGACACTACGGGACTGAGGCTGGGAGCTGCTGTCGTAGTTGTAATAGCGGCCTAGAGTAGAAGGGCAAAGTAAAGCTGCTGTGTGCGTGTAGATGGCTTTGAGATGCCCCAGGCTGCTCTCACTCACCGTTCCAGAGCAGTCTCTCATAAGCTTCTCGGCCTCGGCAGAGAATGGAAGAAAACTTATCCCGGACATCCTGGGCCCCACACAGAACAGCCATCTGAACCATCACAGCCACAGCAGCCAGCCACAGCCCTCCACAGTAAGCACTGATCAGGGACAGGGGCTGGGGTGAGACTGGCAGCTCCAGCCCCTCCCAGGCATGAGTTCCTCCCATGATCAGTTCCCCACCTCAGACCTGGAAATCCCTATCCCCCAACCTGGGGCCTGTGGCGACCCATCCATCATAGGTCTGGTCTGCATAGCCTCCGTTCTCAATGAGTCCATCCTGGTCCTTATCAAACTTCATTTCAGACTCCATCACAGCCTACAGGGTAATCAAGACACTGAAGATGTAGGCTCTAGGAAAGATGCTGGCTATCTGGGCTCTCCCGAGACACTATTATGTCCCTGGTATACTGGACACTATATACAGATGCCTTACCAGACACACAGGCCACATGTCCTTCAGGAAGCCTTGGTCACCTGTCAGGTAATAGTCCCGATAAACTTGCAGCACAAACTTCAGGTTCAAGTCCTTCCAGTCGGCAGTGTCATGAATCAAATAGGCATTGACCCGGAGCCATGGCTCGTCATCTGTGGGAGGGGAGGGGACCTGGTTTTTCTGTGTCGGTGGACAGGAATGAGGGAATAAAAACTGAGAGAGGAAAGTTGACTTGGGGATAGCGGAACCGTACCTGGGTCCCCGATGTCATGAGGGATAACGTTCTTCCTCTTCACAGGTGCCACCGCTCCACTCATCAGGTACCGTCGCCTTGTCAGGTCCTCCTTGAAAGTTGCCAGAGCTGGGGGAGCAGATACACAAGTAGGTGAGGGAAAGCAGGAAATGGGCAGCTGGGGCGGGTCATAGAGCTGTGTGTGTGTGTGTGTGTGTGTGTGTGTGTGTGACCCAGAGGAAAACCAATAAGCAGGATGTAGTATGCTCAGGGCAAGGGGAAGGACATCATTTGAGAGACTGCAGAGGTTCAAGGGTAAAAGACGCTAAGAGGAGTCACCCTCACCCATATCATACTGTAGACTGAGTTCAAGTTTGGGCCACAGCATGACGAGAGCAAAAGAGGCATAAAAGTGGACGTCGTACGTGTTGTACATGCGGTACTCCTGGCCTGGAGGGGTGACAGAGACACTGTTGCAAGAACCCCAGCTCCCTTTGATAGCCCTTCAGGAACTGGAAGAGGGCACAGTCCTCCTCCCCATTTATCCCTTAGCCCATCATTATCTTGGGACAGGCAAAAATCTATCATCTTCCTTTATGCAGGACACTAGCTAGCCTGACACACTCCAACCCAGCAACCCATACCCTCAAGATAGCCAAATCGCCCATAGTCCTGCAGAATGGGGCGGAGCTGATACATGCTCCCTCCCAGCTCCTCCGGTAGAGAGTCTTCAGGAACTTCCAGCCATACTGTGCCTCCATCAGCCAGGAAGTATAATTCATTGAACAGTGCAGATTTGTACCAGGCAGGCAGGGATCTGGGAAGCCAAGAAGAGAGAATAGATCTTTATGAGCTTCCCAGGATAGAAAGGATTCTAGAGTTCAGAGGAGTAGGGGCACTCAGTGAATCCCAGCACAGCCCTACTGATGGGGTGGGGTGGGGGGTAGAACTAGATCAAGTCCTATTGGGAGTAAGTGCCTGGGGAAAAGTACAAGAGGTCTCTACTGGCACCTGTCATCCAATACTGGGCTCTGCCACGCTGAGATTCTCTTCTCCCAGTCTGCATACTGGCACAGCGCGTAGTGGCTAAGGGCAGGTGCCACATCGCCGTCTGAACCAAAGAACCGTGTATATCGCCTGAGATGGAAAGAAAGGCGTAAGAAGGGGTGCTCTAGGTCAGAACCCCAGTGCCTCTGGACCCCTGCATTTACCTGTAGTGGACTTGGCCCTTAGCTCCAAACATGATCCTAGGCATATCCCAAGCCAGTGAAAACTCCAGGCAGCACCGGCCTCGCGGTGGCAGCTCGCTGGAGATACATACAGCCCCAGCGACACCCTCTCCTTTCTGCGAGGGGGTGCTCTGGCCTAAGAAGCACAGGGGAATCAACACAGGCCCTCCCTAGGGACTCCCAACTCAGGGACAGGGCTAGTCATTATCAGGTCTCCCACCCTGGTCCTAAGACAGGACACAGCCTTTCCCCCAACACCTCCCCGCCAAACCCCCCATCACCAGCAGGGGAGTCCAGCTGTCCATCCTGAAGTAGGTCCTGCCACACCTGCTGCCCAGTGCTGTCAGGGTCAAAGGCTGTAATGTGGGTTACGGTGGCGTCTGCCTGTTAAGGTGTCAAAGACTCAGTGAAGGAAGTACAAGGACCCTGGATTCTGACTAGCTCTTCTGCTCCTCTTACACACTGTCACCTCCGAGTTCCAGAGGCAGGGCTGTGATGAGGATGGGACTTGGGAGCTGATGATATGAAAAACTAGGTTCAGGGTCAGGCTGTGAGGGCTGGGGCTCAGCGGAGAGGTATAGTGCAGACTTTTCCGTTACCGTGCATCGTGCAGCCACAGCCATGGTGTAGGGATTCGGGGCGGTTGGATGATGCAGGAGTAGCCCCTGCACGGTCTTCCCATCCCGCTGCAGACAGAAGGGCTCATTCCATAGCCCTCCTGCGGCATCATCTTCACCCCCTAGTCCGTTCCGCATAGAGAACATGATAGACACATCCAGAGTCTCGTCTCCTTCGTTTTCTACATCCCACACAAAGACTCCTACAGGGAGGCAGCTGTCCTGGGGATAAAAGACCAGACTCAGGCTCAGTGTATCCATTCTTGGCTCCACTCCTCAGGATCAGCCATGGGCATAGAGAACCTTTTCAATTATTCCCTGCTACACTCCTGTCTCTCTTGCATCTCCCATATTCCTAGGAGAACAGCCTACCAGAAGATTTTGAAGGCTAGCATTAACTGGACTGGGAAACCAGTGTGATTGATGCTCACAGCTTCAATCTGTCCCTTTTGTCTGTAGAGGTGGACCAACAGGAGGGAAGGTCAGGAGGAAACTGGAGGAAGCCTCACCTGGTAGTCATGGGGCAAGATAGGTGTGATCTGGCGGCAGGTGAGAGTGACTTTCTGCCCAGGAAGCTGATAGACTGTCCAGGCTCGGGGGTAAAGGGCATGGTAGAAAGCAAAGTGACCACACAGGCCCCAGTTCCAGCTGCGCAGGACACTTGGACGCTCCAGGGACAGAACTTGCTGATACACAGTCCGCCCATCTCGGCGCAAGCATACTGTAAACTTGATGGAGAGAGCAGACAGGCTGCAACAAGTAACCCACGAGCAACACACCCTGGTCCCCCACCCCCCAAAAGCGTTTCCTCCCTTCTCAGACTCACCGCCAGCTCAGTGAGCCACCACCATGTCCTGCCTCCCCCTCCAACTACCTCTCCCTTCATGCCTGATCTCAGTACCTTAATCAGGCCTATACTATCTCTGCCTTTTATGGCAGCAGAAATCAAGATGTGCCGATCCCTGCTTAGCATGTTTCAGTGACTCCTATGGCACTCAGGCTCAATTCTGAACTCTAAGCCGACTTCCCGGTCACACAAATACTCTCCAGTCTTTGAGCATCCTTTATTTCCTCTTCATAATCTGCCCATATCCATCTCCATCTAGTTAGATCCCGTCATCCTTCATCGTCTTCCTCCTTCTAGCAGGAAGCCGGCTACCCTGTTATGCCCTATTCCTCTTTATTCTGGTATTCAGTGAATTATGTCACCATGTTTTTATTTGCTTTCCTGTGTCCCAGTTGTCCCCGTGGCTTACTCTGAAAGCAGGGGCCATCTCTAGCTTACTGAAGCGGTCCTCACAGAGCTGTCGTGTGTGCAAAGAACAGGCCAAGTCTCTGCAGCACTGTCTGTGTTCTCGGTACTGCACGTCCCCCTCATAGTGCAGTCTCCGTTTTCTCCAAGTCTCATTTCTCCAGCAAAACTTTAGGCTCCAGAAGGGAGGAATGCTGGGGGTTTAATATCTCTTTCCTTGGTCTAAACTATGCTTGGTACTTTTATTGTATGTAAAGTTTTTCTTTCCCTTTCTTTTATTGCTTTTGAGATAGGGTTTTGCTCTATAACCTAGGCTGGCTTTGAACTGGTGATCCTCCTGCCTCAGTACCGGGATTACAGATACGGGCCTAGCCATAAAATAAATTTTTTCATTTTGCTGGTAAAGTACAAATAGTCAAGACCACCAGCTCTTTGTCACAGAGGTGACTGGCTCGGAGTCCCATCCTTTCCCTAGCATGCTGTCTTGAACATGTTACCAATGCCCTCTGGATCCTGTTTCCTCATCTGTAAAATAATCACTAAATGGTACTTTGTGGGCTCATTAATATAAACATCCCCAAAGCCTACCACAGAGTACTGACACAGTATACAGGCCATAATTACCGCAGAGTCATGCTTCCAAAGGCATTCCCCTGGGAATACAGAAGAGATGAGGCAAGCACTGGGGTGGAGCATGGGTACTGAGTACAGCCACTAAACCTGAGTTGAGAAGGATACTGGCATCAACAGGTTTAAGACCTGCCAGTCATCTCCCCTTTGAAGATAAGCTGAAGGCGGAGGCATCAGAACTTGCTAACTCAGAAGGGAAGGTCATCGAGAACTATGATGAAATGCAAGTCATATACTATAAGATAAGGCCCAGATAAGATATAGAAATAGAAATGAAAATCCTGAAGCTTTAGAAAAGTAAAGACAGCTGGAGAGGGGGGATTTAGGGAGTCCTGGGCAGACCTCAAGAGATCTGCAGCAGGGGAGCTGACCTTTGGCTAAAGGTTTATCTAGGTAAGGAGAGTTAGCACTGTGCATCTGTTTTCAGCATGACTTTTTAGGTTTTCTTTTACCCCTTCCAATATTTTTAAATGTCCTTTCTGTTAAAAGGGGGTGGGGCTGGCCAAGATGGCTCAAACAATGAAGGCACTTGTCACCAAGCCTAACAACCGGAGTTTGATCTCCCAAGCCCACATGTGGGGAAAGAACCAGCTCCTTCCTATCAGTTGTCTCTGACCTTCACCCCAGGCCACAGCGTGCAGACGCCACAGTGCATAGTGCACATAACTATGTATGGAGGCTGGAAGGGAATTTGTAGGAGCTGGTTCTCTCCTTCCTTCCACCAAGTGGGTCCTAGGCATGGAATGCAGGTTGTCAGACTTGGGTGGCTTCCCCTCCTTGAGTCATCTCACTGCACCCCCACCCTTTTATTTTGAGAGAGAGGGTTTTAGGTAACCTGGGCTAGTCTCAGCCTCACTGTGTAACTGAGGCTGGTCTTGAACTCCTGATACTTTTGCATCCACTTCCCAAGTACTGGGATAGGGATGTGCCATCCCACGCAGTTCCAAATGTTCTTTTAAGCCAGTTTAAATGTTCCAGAAGTTTCTGCTCTTTGGAGGGTACTGCCTGAGCTAGAAGACTGTGAGCTAGGCAGGAAACATGGACATGAGAATTATCAGGCAGTTTCCTCTTTCAAGGAACATGGGTTCTGTGTTCATCTTAATGTACCGTCCATCCTAGCACTGGGCTGGGTATACAGCATCCTGAAAGCACTCATTGAACTGAACCATGTGGATGTCTAACTGTACATCCCATGCTAGTTAAGAGCCACAACTTTGCCTGCCCCCATTTCCTGGCCCTTACTTGGTCCGCAATGACTGTCTGGTGCTGGTACATTCCAGGATTAAGTTGCCAACGACAAAACTGGCCTCTCCAGCCCCGGGTGATAGTGCCTCCTCCAATGCCACCCAAGGGACAACCTGGAAAGAAAATCAGGATGGTTAATGGAGAATTAGAAGAGGAAGGCAGGCCTATAGCTCCTGTCTGGGCTCTAGGGAATGGAGCCATGCAGTATGCATGAACTGGAAGCCTCTTTGCCTGCCTCTGCAAAGCAGAGAAGCCAGACCCGCTCTGAAAAGGGCAGCTGAGCTGAGACTCACCATAGATCTGTCTCAGGGGTACAGAATTGAACATGTCGATGAAAGGGGTCTTCTTTTCCACCTGGGTCTTCCGGTACCACCACTTCAAGTACCTGAGGAGCCAAGTGTCAATGTGAGTAGGAGGGTGAGTGTGCTGCTTCTTTTTTAAATGTATTTGTTATGTACACAGTGTTCTGCCTGCATGTGTCCCTGCAGGCCAGCAGAGGGCACCACATCTTACTACAGCTGGTTGTGAGCCACCATGTGGTTGCTGGGAGTTGAACTCAGGACCTTAACCTCTGAGCCATCTCTCCGGCCCAAGTGTGCTATTTCTTATAAGCTGCAGTCATCTCCCTTTCTCTTGATACTCCGCTGTGATCTCCCACTAAATGCCCCAAGAATGTCAGGCTCCACGAACAGTCCTGTAACCAATCATAGCATTCTGAAGGCTGAGGCAGAAGGATCACAAGTTTGAGGCCAGCATGGGCTACACGATAAGACTCTGTCTCAAACAATAACCTAGGACCCATCACTGTGTCTTCCAAACTGTCTTCCTCTGGATTATCCCAGTTGCCCAGGTACTGGTGCAGGATGCCCTTGTTTCTCCATCCTGGGGAGAACTGATTGTTCTAACTCCACCACCACTGTGTTAGCTCAAGCCCCAGGAGCTTTTGTCTGTGTTGACAGGGCTAGTTGCCCTTCCCTGACTACATCCTCCACACATCCCCCTAATTTCCAAACAAGCAGAAGCTGCCAAAAGGACTTCCTCTTTTAAAAATGACTTTATTTATGATTATGAATGGTGACAAATTAGGGAGACAAATGGCCTCAGCGGAAGATAGCTGGTGATTATGTATTCTGGACCGCGTCCCCTTAAGCCCACGCCCCCTTCAATTTAACTGTAAGTTTTCAGATTGTGCTCTTTAAAAATACCCAGTAAATTAACTGGGCACAATGGCTCACACCTGTAAAACCAGCACTTGGGGTTGAGGTTAGCCTGGGCTACAGAATGATTTCCAGGACAACCTAGGCATCAGTGAGAACCTGTCTCAACAAAATAAAACAAAATCACAATACCCCCTACAGTAAAGCTTTCTAAAAATGTCACAGTGTCAGCCAGGTGGTGTGGCCACACATTTAATCCCAGCACTCAGGAGGCGGGTGGATCTCTGTGAGTTCACAACATCCTGGTCTACAGTTCGAGTTCCAGGACAGGTAGGGCTACACAGAGAAACCCTGTCTTGAAAAACAAAAACAAAAAAGTCACAGTGTTTCCCTGTTCTTGCTCCTTGATTTGTACCTAATGAGAAAACAATCAGGACTGTTGCATACAAGTCGCTGGGTCTATTTTCAAGGCCGGCACCCCTGCCTTATCCTACCCTCTGGTGTCTTCTTCATACGTTCTCATTCATGATAGGCTGCTAAGCAATCATTTTAGGCCTAACATTCAGTCACATCTAAGCAAGTGATTGGCTATGCAAACCCTCAAGCTTCTGTTTCCTCATCTACAAAATGGGAACAGCTTCTGCCCTTGTTACCTCCTGTTATCACCGAAAGATCAAATACCCTAACAGATAAGAAAGTCATAAAGTCGACTATTGGTGACAGGTATGATTATCGCCACACACGATCTCTTCTCCTAATTAGACACTGCCTTGTTATTTCAGCGTGTTCCTCACGTGAGCATGACATTTGGGGTAGGGGACAGTGACCAAGACGAGATGAATGTCACCCACAGCTCTAAGCACAGGACAAGGCGCAGGGCCTGCAGCCTGTAAATATCTGTTGAGTTTATAAATGAATGGATGTACAAACATTTGACATAATGGGAGACAGACTGGAGCGGGAGTTGGGAGGGAGAAATGGATGAAAAATAAGGGATGGGGTAAATTCTGGGGGCAAGGTAAAAGGCGTGGAAGACAAGGGATAGGTGGTGGCAAGTCTGAAGGTCCTCTGCCAGTTTAGAGGCGCTAGGACAGAATGAGAAGCCAGAAAGGACTGGAGAAGAATTATTAGATACTAAGACAGGCAGAACAAAGGACTACCTAGTAGCAAACATTACTGACTGAACTGACTGGCTAAAGGAACAGCAATCAAAGTTGAAGCTGCGCCTTCAGTGACTGTCCTGCCAGTGCTGCTGAGAGTGCTCCTGAGTTCAGCTCACTCCAAGGGGCTCCCTGTTCTCCTTCGGCAGCTGGCCATTCCTGACATACCCAGTCTTCTCTATAATACCAATCCCAGCTCAGAAATGACCATTCTGAATTCTCACCTTCCTTTAACCTCAACCTAGGCCCTCATCCCATTCCAAAAGCCATGTGTTGATGATATCCACCCTATCCTAGTATGGGAAGCCAAGGTCCAAGGGGCTGAGCAAGAGCTTGAGGCCTCTGTGACTCAGCTCATATTTAGTGGCTAAGAGGCTAGGATGAATGTACACCTGCTCGCGACCTTATCCTGATCACATGCAATCCACCGTGCTTGTCTCAGTACCCTAGATCCCATCCTGACAAAGGCTCTGGGATCACAGCTGGGCTGGAACAACATGATGGTTAATTCTTACAACTTGCTCAGCTCTGGAGTCACCCAGAAGACAAGCCTGTGAGCATGCCTATGAGGAACGGTTGTCCATATTAGGTTAACCGAGGTGGGAAGATACTCCTTAACTGTGGCTGACACCACCCGTGGGCTGGAGTCCTGGAGAAAGAAAGCGGAGTTCTAGCATTCATTGATCTCTGCTGCTGGCTGTGATGGTGTGACCAGCTGCCTCTCATTCCTGCCACCATTACTTCTCTGCCATGACAGAATGTACCCTCAAACTACAAGCCAAACAAATGCTTGAATTACTTTTGTCTGGTTTTGATCATAGCAATAAGAAAAGTAACTAGTCCAGGCAGTTTCATAAAGGGCCTAGAGGAATGATTCTCCAAGACGGGCCACCCACAGGAGCACCAGGCCTTCTCATTGCCTAGGGCTAGGGCTAGTTAGGTAAGTGGATTTCCCACCACAGTCCCACAGCACTGACTGGGGCAGGAAGGTTTAGTAGACGTTGCTGGGGTTGAGTTTCTCAACTTTTATGCCTCCCTCCCCAGCACTGCGCTTATATGCAAACTGACTCAGAATGACCTCAGAATGATGCTCTGTCTTTATGGCCATCTGTTCCTATTAATGGGTATGGCTGCTCGTCACTAGCCTTCCAACTCCTAGGGAATCCAGAAGGGTTCCATAGTAGCTGCTCTGGAGTGTCTGTGACCTCTGGGATAGGAGGACAAGCCAAGGCTGGCTCTGGAAGACTTACCTACAATACAATACAACACAATGCTGGGGATGCCCGAGCACCCCAGGCTGGAAGTCATCTTTAAGGATCTGGGGGGTATTCCGGTGGAATGTGTGCTCCCTACTACTGTGCTTTATCCCCAGATCTCCCCATTTTTTACGTGGGGGATGCTTTCACTGTTGTGTTCAGGTCAGGTTTGCTCTGAACTCTTAGGTTCAAATTAATCACCCGCCTCAGCTTCCCAAGTAGGTGACACTATATGCGTGCACTACTTTGCCCAATTCCAATTTTGCTTCTTTTGTATCAGAAGCCCTCTGTCACAGAATAGAGTGAACTTGTCCTCCTCTCTTTAGGGTTGACAAGAGCCAGACAGCTATTCCAGGAGTCAGGGCATGAGGACAGAAACAGATGAAGCAGTGCATGCTTAATAAGGTACAGAAGGCTTCAGCTGCTGAGGGGAATGTCGGCTGGAGAACTCACAAAAAAACACTGTATCAGGACAACAAAGGCTGGTCTTCTACTTTGCCACAAAGTATAACTAATCTCAAAGTGAAGTCTGGGAAAGAGGAAGTGCTTGGGAGGGAGCCTAAATGGGGAAAGACTGACGGCAGGACAAAACACTCTTTCCCTTTGCTGCAGAGAAGATACTAGGAAAAGGGGGTTTCGAAAAGATGCTCTTCAATCTCCCCCTCAAAAGCTGCAGGGGTAAAGAATGCAGGGGATGTGGCACACTTGACTGGAACCAGGAGCCCACCTACTTGATTACCCTTCTCCGCTTATGCAGGGAGTCTTGAATGGGAACAAAGGAACCAAGGCATTCTAGGCGACCGGATCTACTCACCTCAAGCCCATACCGAAATGCTTTACCAAGTTGCTTAGAGAGACGTTGTTAGCTTGAAAGGGTTTCCTCTTCTCTGCAAACTCATGAGCCAAGCAGATCCGCCAGCCAAAAGAAGGCACCTGGTAGCCCCTAGCATTACCCTCGTAGGAGGCCATCAGCTGCCCAGAGTCCTCTGAATTGCAGTAGCCTGGCTCATTCTGGCGTCCACTGTCCTCAGGGCTCCCGCAGTCAGTAACCCGCACAGCCTTAGTGTCCCCAGTATTTTCAGGGCAATAAACTTGAGGATCTCCTTCGGCACAACTGATTTGCTCTGAGGCCGGTACACAGGTTACCATGTTCACTGGCTCCTGGGTCCTCACGACCCCGGGGGTCTCGGGTCCCTCTGACACCTTTCTGACGTTTCGAAACGCGGGCACCAGTTGCAGTTAGGGCCGGACGCTGGGGAAAGCCGTAGGAGGTTGGTGTCCGGGTAAAGTGTCAGAGAGCTCTTGCTGCAGCAGTGGCCACAGCAATAAAGTCGCCGCGGGCTCTCTTGGGTCGCGACTCTAGATCCTAGGCGGGAAGGGTTGGGCCTTGTTGTCATTGGGCCGTGGCGAATAGCTCGCCCGGCCGAAGGCCGACCGGCTCAGCGGACGGGGGCGGAGCCGCGGTACCTGCCCGCAAAGCACCGCCCCTGGGCCCCGCCCGGGAGTTCGCGGCGACCCTGGGCCCCGTCCTGGTCCGAGGCTCCAGGGTCTCCAGGGCTGGGTGCCGGGTCCCTCCGGCCGGGATCCCCAGCGCCCGCGCTCAGGTGCCACCGCTGGGAGGGTGACCCGCAGCCCAGGGACCACCCGAACCCCTTCCGGTCGGAAGCACCCCGCAGGTCGGACCGGAAGGGGCGCCTCAACCCTGCAGTGTGACAAAGGAAGTCCCGCCTCTCCGCGCCGCTGACACCGCGGACGCCACCGATCTCCGAGCCGGTCTCGGAGGGGCGGGCAGGTGAGGACCTCCATCTAGGAGTCCGCGTTTGTATCCTGAGACGTGGCGCGCATCGGTGTCCTGAGCTAGGATGTGGAGCCTCGAGGGGAGCGGAGACAAAGGCAAAGGCAGGCCTGGGAGCCTGTGGGTGGCGGCGCAGGGGGCCTAGCTCGACTCTAGACGCGGAGAGGTCTGGGACTAGAGCGACGCCCTCACGCAGGCAGTACGGAGTCAGTATCCGTCGCCAGCTCCCCAAATCTCAGCTCTTCCCACCCGCACCGAAACTTGAAAACCCCTACTTCTTGCCCCTGGGACCCAGATCTAGACATAACCCTAAGTCCTAGACACTCCTTCCTCCTTTCCCCTTGTACTGACTTCTGGCACTTTGTGTTTCCTTCTAGATTTGTTTCTGGAGCTGCCATGATTGAAGTGGTGGCTGAATTGAGTCGAGGTCCTGTATTTCTGGCGGGGGAGGCTCTGGAATGTTTAGTGACTGTCACTAATCCCCTGCCCCCGACCGCCACTTCTGCGTCCAGGTGGGGATGCTGGTACTGAAGGTGGCGGCCCCTCCGGGAGGAAGCCTGGTATCGCTCGCTCCTTCTAAATCAGAGCTTTGGTTATCCTGTAACTACACTACCATCACCACCTACTTCCTCCTTGCTCGTTGAAGGGAAGAGCTTTTCAACAAAGACGTGGATGACATGGTCCCTACCCACCTTTCCTCCTCCTCCCTCTTTGAACTTGTTGCGCTTTGCATTGTGCAATGGTTTCACATTGGTGATCTTGTCAGGCAGTATCGGAGGGAAAGCATTTGTGAAGTCTCTCTTTTCATCCCTTCTTTTTCCTTTTCCACAGTGAGGCTCTGGCCTGGGCCAGTGCCCAGATCCACTGCCAGTTCCATGCCAGTGAGAGTCGAGTAGCCCTGCCACCCCCGGACTCTAGTCAGCCAGATGTCCAGCCTGACAGCCAGACTGTCTTTCTGCCACACCGAGGTTAGAGACAGAGTATTTGCCTTGGAGGGAGGGGAAGTCGTTGTCACCCAGGGGTAGAGTTAAGTTGTTCTTGTATGATGCAGTTACCAATGCATCAGGAGTAGAGGGGAAGATAATTTACTGATTTGGGGCTATGAGACTGTCCCCGTACCACAACAGAAAGAGTTGGCCGTTCTTCCCTGCCTCCCTTGCTGTGTGACCCTGGTCAACAATGGACAACAGAGTCATTTCATTGCACTCTTTCTTACTTTCCATAGGTGAGAGGGGTCAGTGTATCCTTTCTACTCCACCAAAAATTCTGTTTTGTGACTTGAGGCTAGACCCTGGCGAATCCAAATCATGTGAGTGGTTGTCCCCCAGCCCAGAACTGCCTTCTCAGTTCCCAGGAGGGGGACTCTGATGGCCTCCAGCTGCTCTGACTATTGTCCCCCACCCCACCCCCCACCTCCAGACTCCTACAGCGAAGTGCTGCCCACAGAGGGACCACCTTCCTTTCGGGGTCAGTCAGTCAAGTACGTCTACAAATTGACCATTGGCTGCCAGCGTGTCAACTCGCCCATCACTTTACTCAGGGTCCCTTTGAGAGTTCTTGTGCTGACTGGTGAGCCAGGTTCCTAGAGGGAAGGGGTGGGGTGGAGGCTTACAGAGCATAGTCCAAGGGGACCTGCAGAGACTCCTGGTGTTAGGGACAGTGCTGGGGATGAGGTGGGGAGTAAGCAGAGACCTTCAGCCTCCGCAGGTCGGACTCTCAAACCCAGTGTCTGTTTACATCTCTGATCCCTCCCGGCGTTACCTCTGCTCAATTCTGTCTAGGTCTTCAGGATGTCCACTTTCCCCAGGATGAGGCGGTGGCTCCAACCAGTCCATTCTTAGAGGAGGACGAGAGCGGCAAGAAGGATTCATGGCTAGCCGAACTGGCTGGGGAGCGCCTCATGGCTGCCACCTCCTGCCGCAGCCTCCGTGAGAATCCTTTCATAATTGCCCTGATCCAAATTTTCCCTCAGTGTGTCCCTGTCTGAAAAGTCTCCTGTCTACCACATCCCTTCATGGTCCACTAATATCTTGCCCCCATTGGAAAGAAAAGCCTCGTGTTCTGGCATCTGAGACTCATTCCTAGATATTCCCCAGTGTAAACTATAACCTTCTGGTATCTGTTCTCCCCAGATCTGTACAATATCAGTGATGGCCGAGGGAAAGTTGGGACATTTGGTATCTTCAAATCTGTGTACAGACTCGGCGAGGATGTGGTGGGGACCCTAAACTTAGGGGAAGGAACTGTAGCCTGTTTGCAGGTGAGAAAGGAACAGCTTTGTTGCTCTCGGCCCAAAGGGCTAGGGTGGAAGAGGGGCCTGCATGTAGAAGTGGAAATTGGGGTTCCTCAGGTCAGCCACTCACCTGCAGTCCAGTTTCCAAATGCCTGCTGGTATATGTCTCTCTTCTTGCTCCCAGTTTTCAGTAAGCTTGCAGACTGAGGAGCGTGTACAGCCTGAATACCAGCGGCGCCGCGGGACAGGAGTTGCCCCTTCGGTGTCCCACGTGACGCATGCCTGGCACCAGGAGTCCTGCCTCCATACAACTAGAACCAGCTTCTCCCTCCCCATCCCTCTTTGCTCTACCCCTGGCTTCTGCACTGCCATCGGTGAGAACCCGACCGTTGCTGGAGAAAGGAGTAGGGGAGTAAACGCTGGGCTTCGGGAAGTGTAATGGTCCTAAAATTCCCGTGTGACATGCATGCCCACATCCAGCCCAGCCCTTCGCGTTTTCTTACGTCTTTCCACGGGCCCTCTGTTACTTAGATGTGCCGACCCCTAAACCCTTAACAGCTTTATAAAGCACTGTTCCTGCCTGAGATGCACTGATCTCTGGCTTCTTAGCACATTTATTTCAAACTACCTAGTCTTGACTATCCTGACCTTGGGTTGCTAGGTAGTTGACACTGCTATCCTTAATGGCATCTCTGGGTGACATATTAACACACCAGGTTTCTTAGAAACAAAGTGTTTGATCGAAGCTCCTGCCCTGTGTCTTCTCTTTATGGATACAATCTGTTTTTTTCTTTTTCTTTCTTTTTTTTTTTTTTTAAATTGTTTTCTGAAGGGGGCAGGGTTTTTTGTTTGACTTGGAACTAACTCTGTAGACCAGACTGGTTGTGAGATTAAAGGCATCACTGCCTGCCTTTTTTTTTTTTTTTTTTTAAAGAGAGGGATTCATTGTAGCTCTGGCTGGCCTGGAGTTAATCCTGTAAGCCATGTTGGCCTCAAACTCATAGAGATCCACCATCTTCAGTCTCCTCTTCCTGAGCAATGGGATGAAAGGCGTGCACCATCACACCCAGTCAGAGAATTTTAAATCCATTCATTCATTTTCTTTTGTGTATGTGTCAGAGGACAACTTTCTCGAGTTGGTTCTTCCCACCACATGAGTCCTGGGGATCCGGTGTAGGTCGGCAGCCTTGGTGGCAAGTCCCCTTAACCTGCTGAACCATCATTATCTTTATTACTATGTCATAACTGTAATTTTGCTATTGTTATAAATGGTAGTGTAAATAAATATCTCTCTTTTCTGGTGGTCTTAGGGAACCCCGTGAAAGGGTCCTGTGGCCCATAGGGGTTGTGACCCATTGGTTGAGAGCCACCGTTTTAAAGTAGCTCTCTCTGTCTTTTCCTTTTACAGTGTCCTTGAAGTGGCGACTGCATTTTGAGTTTGTAACATCCCGGGAACCAGGATTGGTTCTTCTGCCCCCATTGGAGCAGCCTGAACCTGCGACCTGGACGGGGCCTGAGCAGGTGCCTGTAGACACCTTCAGCTGGGACCTCCCCATCAAAGTGCTTCCTACAAGCCCCACCCTGGTCTCATATGCTGCCCCAGGCCCCAGTACCAGCAGTATAACTATCTGAAGGTGGCCCACATGCCCACCGTGGCACTAGTTTCTTCAAGACATTGAAAACTCAACAGCTGGATCCGGTGGGGCCCGCTTTTCCCACCTGGGGCCCTGCCGCACAGCGATGAGAACCAGGCTTTCAGCTGTGGCATTGATTTATTTATTCAGAGTAAACGGGCAGCTGCTAGTGGTTTCCCTGGGAGTGGCAGCAGCAATGGGCAGTCAGCAGATGGGTGATCCTTTAGCTGGAGTGGGGAGCAGGAGCTCTAGGAACAGGGGTGTTAGCTGAGCCCCATTCTAGGTCGGGTCCTCCCCCTTTGCAGGGAAGTCGAGGGTCAGATTTTTGCACCAGAGAAAACTGACAGGTTCCTGCTTCCTGGCGCACTTCACACCCAGCGGGGAAGTCAATGGGATGCTGCGACCTAGAAAACCAAAGATTGGTAGTCGGTACAGTGAAAAGCCACCTCTATGGCGTGCCCTTCCCTCTCATAGCTGTCCCCCGCCCAGTGTCTTCCAGTGTCCCCCAGACTCTCCAGCTCAGCTCTCTATATAAGGAGTTTTTAGTTTCCTAAGCAGGAGTATTGCCCTCCAGATCTACCTCAACTCCCCTCCCTCCTTGGTGCCTTCACCTCTGTGGTCGCATGTTGCTCTCCTGTTTATTCTTGCCTCACAGAACTTAGTTCCTCCCCGACCGTCCTCCCTCTGGGTCACTTACGTGTCACAGCAGCCCACACCCACGGGGTGCAGACAGGTGCAATGGAAGCAGTCCTTGCGGAGCCAGGATTCACCCAGAGTGAAGTATTTCCCGTCGTAGTGGCAGGGAGCTAGGGAAGGATGAGAACTGGTCAGTTGGTAGGTGAGAATTGCGTGTGTCGGCAGCAGTCTCCTCTGGTCTAGGGTGGGAGAGAAGCCATGCATACTAGCCCTTGTTGTCGTCCCTCCATGTCACAGGTTGGAGGACTGAATATATAGATAGATATAGATATTCTAACAGGGTCGTCTCTGAGCTCTCGTCACCCCTCATCTTTCCCTTAAGCATCAAGCAGTCCACCTTACCTTGAGCTTGGAAGTAACACTTGCTGTTAACTCCTGGGTGCTGCAGGAGCAGAGACACCACCAAGCAGATGATCCTCCAGCCTCCCAGGATCCCTTTGCCCTGTCCAGCCCAGAGCATCCTTAGAGCCATTCCTGTAGCTCAGCTCTCTCAGACCCTTGCCTGGCTTTTGTTCAGATTCCTCTGGCCTTATCCCCTTGCTTTTCCTGCCTTGCTCCTTGACTCCTGAGTGTCTCTCCTTGGGCTCTGTCTCATACCATGCCAGTGCCCTCTGCTCTTACAGGCTGGGGATGTTTATAAAGTGAGGACCCTGGCCCCCTGCTGAGCAGAACTGGACAGGCTGTTGCTCTGTTTCCTGAGGTGAGGGCATGAAAACAAGAGGTCCTGCTTTTAACAAGCTGTGAGAGCTGATTCATGCCCCCACACAGCTAGGAGGAGGGAGGTGGCCATGGAAGGGGCACTGGACTGGGCACTTCCCCAGCTGGGAGGGGGATGGTTGAAGGCCCCAGGTGGTCCCCAGATCTCCTTGACCTGCAGAGAGGAAGCATTCCATCAACCCTCCCTCCACCACCACCACCAGGGGTGTGTGTGCTGGGATCCTTGCCTGGACCGGAGGGAGGCATTTCCTGGGGATGGCTAATCCTGTGCCCCAGCCAAACCAAGGAGCTGCAGCAGGGTGCAGCTGCCAGAGGCTCCAGGAGAGCAGTCAGGCATCTGGAGTGGAGGGCATGTTTCCTTCAGTTCCTGGGGTGGGGTGGGGGGGCAGGGTTTCCCTGGTGCATCTGAGAAGTGACTGTCCTCAGCATTATGGGGAGAGGGGTTCACCCATGGGCACCCCAAAGGTAAACTTTCCATTGTTTTTATACCCAGTGGGCAGCAGCTACAAGATTGCCCCATCCCTAGTAATGCCCTCCCTCAGAAAAGCATCTCTTCCAAGTACCCCAACAGATCATCCCCCTTCTACAGAGATGTGCCCTCCCTCACGATGGAGCAAGGCCTTGTGGGCTTTCGCCTTTGGCATCCTTTGAGTTTTGCAGGCTCTGGAGATTCAGGTGGTGACTCTTACTAGCCATCTGACCTCGCACAAGTTACTTCCCCTCTGCCATCCTTTCTTTTCATTCGTGCATTGCCAGCTCATGGGCTCATCGTGAGATAGCACATGGGATGTTCCTAGTAGCGTCTTTGGCCCGTGACCCTCAGAAAATAGCCTCTTCTTGAGGCTAAAGCTCAGAGACAAAATGTTGGTGCACTCTCTGGAGGACAGTAAGCAGCTTGCACAGCTGAGGTCTGCTGTTGTGAGTGCCTCTCCAGGCCACATTTGTGCTCCAAGGTACCCTACTACCTGCTTCGAAAGCAGATGTGGCCCTGTGAGCATTTTGGTTCCAGTCATTAACACCTGGAGTTCCTCACACCTGGCTTGAGCTGCTTTTCCCACCTCAGTACCTTGGGAAGAGGAATCTCCTTACCCTCCCACTAGCCTCAGGACTCTGCTTTCTCTTATTTGATCCTGACCCCCTTTTTTTCCTCGTCCCCTCATGTGAATTACTTTCAAGTCTCCACTGCGACACTTGTGATAATAGTTTATCGATTACTAAGGCCCTGATCTAACTGGTCTTCTTTACTTTTTACTTCCCCACATTTCAGAGGCCCCGCTGCTGTCCCCTCTCCTGCTCATAGGACGTTTGCTCTGGTTTTCCTTCAAGCCTGTAGTCCCATGCAGCCAAGCTTTACTCCATCCCCTCGTACAGCAGATCTGACTTACTTCCGGCAGGCTTTTGTAGAAGCCACCCTGCCTGCCATCTCTTCATCCAGCAGCCACTGTCAGTGCCCCTCTAATTCCTTAGCTGTCTTCCTCCAAGATACCTTTGGCTTTGGCCGGGGATGCAGGTCAGTGATAGAGTGCTTGCCTACCCTCTCCATGTCCTAGGTTCCCCCCCCCCCCCCCCCACACACACACAAATTGAGTGAAAGAAAACAAGATTCCCTTTTAGAGATGCTGTCAAGACAAAAACAAAGGAAAACTTAGGGTACACCCAGGTAGGCTCCTGTGTAGGGGCCATGGCCTTGACTCCCTGACATCTTGGCTGGAGAAGGGATTAGAAGACATCAAACAAGCACAGGGTTTAGCAGTCTGGTCATTAGTTAGCTTTTCCTCTGCTTTGGGGGAACCCACCTGAAGGCTGAGTGTAGGCTATCTTCTGCACGCACTACAGACTAGAAGTGGGAGCGAGTGGGAAGCTAGAGACCCTGGAGGCAGTGGAGATGCTGGAAGTGGACTTGGTGGGCACTGGTGTGTGAGCCACACTGCATTAGAAGGGAGGATTAGCCTCCTGGAATGCAGATGAAGCAGACATGTGCTGTGAGAGCGTCAGGAAGGAAGCTGGAGCTGAGCAGGACTACTTTCTGAGGTTGCGGAGCAGTGTAGAACTGATCGATGGCCTGGGCACTGCGGTAAATGTGTAGGGGTATCAGTGGCTTACGTCCAGCCCGCTGAGTCCTTGGAGAGCAGCCTTTGGAGCAAGGGACAGGGCAGGAGTTGGGGTGGGAGTTGGCACAGGCCACCTGTGCAGGGACAAGGAAAACATCCGCTGGAGGTGGGCCAGGCTGTGTTCCAGCAGTGCAGGCAGGTGCGCAGAGTGAGGAAGTGAGCACATTCCGGGGCTGAGTCACCCCAGCGCTGCCACTTTGCCCAGAAGGTACAGAGCATGGCCTTTGAAGATCATGGCTCTGGGAGATTTGAGGACCGAACCCGGGGTGGGGAGAGTCTTGAAAGAGCCCAAAGAAATCATGGAAGGGGTTGTCTGCCCAGCTGGCCCCACAGTGCGAAATGCAAAGCCCCTAAGTTCACAGCTTGTCTCTGAATAGAGACAGCCAGGCAGGGTAGAGCCTCTGGGAAACTTGAGGGGAGAGGCAGAGGAAAGATCCTCCAAAGGCGTCCTAGAGAGAGCAGATCCAGGAAAACTGGGAGGCAGGTGGTACAGCTCACCTGGGTTAAGCTTCTGAGAACAAAGCATCCAGCATCCCAGCAGTGGGGTATTCTGAGCCAGAGGTGCCTGTCCAGAGGCCTGTGTGAAGGACGGGCTTCAGGGAGTGTGGAGAGTTGAGTGATCTGGATCTTTGCAGTAGTTCTTGGTTCTGAAAAGGCTTGCTGTGATGGAAAAATGATGTGTGGATTTCTCGGGTGGACTGGGACATCGTGTTGGCCGGTGTGGCAAAGGTAGTGAAGGGTGTGAAAATGAAGCCATCTCTGTTTGCCGTAGTCACCAGCGCACGGAGAAATCTCAGGAGGGTTGCCACTAGCGTGAGGCTAACCTGGGCTACAGAGCAAGGCCCTATCTTAAAAAACAATTTGTCCTTACTGAATTTTAAAACAAAATCTTGAATAAAAGTTGAAAATCAATGTCATGTGTTTGATTTAAAACTGACACTTAGGTCACTAGGATTAGTTTTATGGGGTCTGGAGAGATGACTTAGGGTTTATGAGCATTTATACTTGAAGACCTGGGTTTGATTCCCAGCACCCACATGCTTGTTCATAACCATTTGTAATCCCAGTACCAGGGCATCTGACACCACACCCTTTTCTGATTTGGGGCACCCAGCATACTATACTCATTGTTCACGTACATACATGGATGGAAGACACTCATCCACATGAATAAACCTTAAAACATTCTGAAAGATTAGTTATAGCCGGGCGGTGGTGGCAGCACTCTGGTGGCAGAGGCATGCGGATCTCTGTGAGTTTGAAGCCAGCCTGGTCTACAAGAGCTAGTTCCATGTCAGCCAGAGATACACAAAGAAACCCTGTCTTGGGAGGAAAAATTAGATTGGCAAACCTAGTGGTTTATGTCTGTGCTCTCATCACTTGGGATGGGGTGGCTGAGGCAGGAAGCTCCTCTTAAGCGGGTGAATTCCAGGACAGAAAGAGGAGAGAAAGAGAAAGCTGACTACGATGTTGAATGTTTTCCTTTTCTGATCTGAGACTCCTGCGGCTTCTGGACTGCACTGAGTTCTGCATATCCGTCTTGGTTCTTATCAGCAACACACTTCTGCTTCCCTTTCCTTTATTTAATTGTCTTTATTTTTAACCTTAACTTTTCCTCCACAGCCCTTTATTTAGCCTGTCCTATGTATTCTGACCTAAGTAAATGGTTCCTTAGGATGGGATATTGAATTCCAGTACGCAAAGAAAAGCGGGTCCCAATCCTGTTGTGTGTGCTGGGTACCGACTGTCTAGTGGGGACTGGTAGCCACTGTGAGTTTCTGTGTTTGCTCTGTGGTGGGTAAGAGGAAGACAGCTGTCTAACTCAGTAGCGTTTCCACAACGCAGCCACTGACTCTGACTTCAAATGGATTTGTTTGTCTCACACTGACACGCTCTATCTCGATCCTTCTAATTTGTGTGTTCTTGCACCAAAGGCATTGCAAGGGTGAGGATCTTCTCAGCCTAAAGAGCACTAAACGCTGCAGTTGTCTTTGGTCCGAAACAAGAAAACTAGGTCAGTTAGTGAAAAGAAGAAAATGTCCTCTTTGGAGCTCTGTTGCTTTGTCCCGTGGTGTTCCAGCCCCGGCCCTGCCTCCTTCCCAGTGGCCCAGGCTTTATTTCTTCTTTGCTCTGCTGGACTTCTTGAGAGGAAAACTCCACACCAACTTCCTCTGCTATAAATTTTCTCCTTCCTCTCATCTCCTCACGTCTTTTTGCCAACATACACCACTACTTATTCACCCCCTTTTTTAAAAAAAAAAAAAAAAAGCCCACGGCCCTCCTTGGCTCTTTTCCGTCTTTAACACCCTTGTGGGAGTGCTCTATTTTTCTTTGATGTGTCCTTTGGTCTCTAAAAAGCTCTGCCCTGGTTATTTATTCTGCATGGTCCATTTCTGCCTTCCTTCCTCTGCTATCGCGTTTTTCCTTTTTATCCTAGATCATTCCTAAACCACTTTTTACTCCAGTGCTTACCTTTCCTTGTGATTAAACTCCTTCCTCCAGATACAATAAAAGATGTTTGTGTTCCTATTTTATTGTTATTATCACCATTATTTTATTTTTAAGTTCTCAGTGGCCGGACATGTAACTCGGTGACATGCTTGACTAGCGTACACAAGGCCCTGGTTCAATCTCCTCCAGTACCATCTGGGCTTGGTGGCACATGCCTGTAATCCAACCCTCAGGAGGTGGAAGCAGGGTGGTCAGATGTACAAGTCCGGCCTCAGCTACATGACACAAGGCCAGCTTAGACTAGTAAGAACCTGTCTCTAAAGAAAAATAATTTTGAGATTCACGTTTCCTGTAAATTCTTCTCTCAACCTGGTATGTCCAGAATTATAGTGAAACTCACTGACGGGTACTCTAAGTTCATGGTGGGCACTGTGTGAAGAGTTCATGATTCTGGCGCTGGATCCTAAGTGCTTTCCAAGCAAGGATGCCATCATGTATGTGCATGATGCTATCATGTGCACATAGACACATAACAGCCCAGAGCAAATACCTGCAAATATGGATGTTTAGTATATCACCTTAGAGTAAGCATTACATTTTGGGGATGGAAGATAACATTGGTTTCTGTATTCAGCCTGGAGACGGGTCAGAGGAGAGTCACTCATTCCTGCGGACTTGAAGAAACCTCACCAAGGAGGCCGAGTATCCAGCGTTAAGATGGTTTGTAAGGCTGAGGTGAATGGCGGGAACACGGATGGGGGTGCCGACTTCTAAGAGTGTACAATGGCTATGTCCGAACAGCCCGATACTCTTGAGACTATGTAGAGTCCTCTGTAGTCTGACTGCAGCTGTGATCTGTCTGCTAAGACTCACTGAGACTGGGTATAGGCGAAGGCAGGAGGATTGCCTTAAGTCTGAGGCCAGCCTGAGCTACAGAGTGAGCTCCTGTCTCATCCCACGTTGTCTCTGTACCACTGGAGCCATTCTTATCAGAGTTTACATTATTTTTGCTAGTAAGCTATTATGATCATGGTAGTTCCTTCCACCAACAATTACCTCCAGCTCACGACCGCTAGTCCTCATTGACGTCCCTATTCACCTGTGTGCTCTCTCTGCCCTGCTCCATTATCTGATTGTGATAATCGTGACTTAAAAAATTCCATTTGTAGCTCTTGCCCTTCCCACATTTGTAAATTGCTTACATTTTTATTAGTTCTTTGAGAATTTCACATATACACACGATGTATTTTAGTCGTATTTCCCCCACTCCTCCCCTAACTGTCCACCCTACTGTTATTTTCTTCCTTTTTTTTTTTTCAGACCAGGTTGGCCTCTAACTCACAGAGATCCACCTGCCTCTGCCTCCTGAGTGCCAGGATTAAAGGCCTGCAAAGCCCCTCCCCCCCATTTCCTAAAATAGACTTAAAACTGGATTACTAAAAAGGTTTCCAGTCTTTTGTTTGATTTATAATTCTACTCATTGAAAACAGTAGTTTGCTGGGCAGGTTGCGTCCTGCTGAGACAGAGGCTGCCTGCTGTACTGTTACATAGCTCTGTCCCCCCAGAACCCTGACACTGCTCTGTTTTCTGCTCTCTGCATTTCCCCGTAGTTCTTCTCTTGGAAACAATTTGGGAGAATTGTTGTTGTTTGTTGTTGTTAGTTTTTTTTAAAGACTTTGTTTGTTTGTTTGTTTTGTTTTCTCTGCGTTCTCCTGGCTGTCCTGGACCTCACTCTGTACACCAGGCTGGCCTGCCTCTGCCTCCCAAGTGCTGGGACTAAAGGATGTTCCACCACTGAGCGGCTTAACGTTCATGAATTTGCGTGTCATCCTTGCACGGGGCCGTGCTAGTCTTTGGATCATTCCAATTGTAGTATACATACTGCCGAAGCTATCACAAGAATTATTTTTACAACATGACTCGGTTTCTGTGATTGTCTTTGCTTTGTGTTTTGTTTTTGTGGTATTTTGCTTTGTTTTGAGACAGTCTCACATTGAATACCTGATAGCCTGCAACTCTCTATCTATATACACCACGCTGGCCTTGAACTCACAGAGTTCACCGGTGTATCTGCCTCCCCAGTGCTGGGATTATAGGTGCTCACAATGCCAGGCAACCACTTTACTTTTTGAGACAGATGTCTCACTAAACCATTTCTGCTGGACTCACCTACCCCCGTCTCCCCAATACTGTGATTATAGGTGTACGCCATCACATCTGGCTTTTACTAGGGTGCTGGGAAGCTGAACAGGGGCCCCCACACTTGTGTAACCAGCACTTTACTGGCTGAGCTGTCTCCCCAGCCAGAAGCTACTTTTTAAAATTAGATGAAAAATTTTTATTTTATGCGTGTAGGTGTTTTGTATAGGTGTTTTGACTGTGCACCGCATTTATGCCTGGTTCCCACAGAGGCCAGAAGAAGGCATGGGATGCCCTAGGACTGGAGTTAGAGATGGTGGTGAGCTGCCAGGTGGGTGCTGAGAATCAAATCTGGGTCCTCTGGCTGGCCAGTGCTTTTAGCCGCTCAGCCACCTCTCTAACTCCACAGAAGCTTCTGCTTGTGAGTTTTGTTTAAGAGATAGGAAAGGAGACAAGAACAACAGACAATAAAGGATCGTGAGTAAGACAGTAACAATAAGCCAAAAGAATGAAAGGAGGATGAGACCCTAGGTGACAGCGTAGGGACACAGCTGCTGTGTCCTCGGTGGACCAAGCGTATTTATGCTTAGGAGACTGGCAAAGAAATGACAAGCCTCTTTAGCAGACCTGGATGCAAAACAAAGGGTCAGAGAGCTGGCTCAGCAACCAAGAGCACTTGGTGCTCTTGCAAAGGACCCAGACTTGGTTCTCAGCACCCATGTGAGAATTCACAGCCAACTCCAGATCCTGGGCTCAGATTCCCTCCTCTGGTGTCCATGGGCACGGTACACAGATGATACACACATGCATGCAGGCAAACACTCACACACACATGAAATAAAAAGAAATATTTTTTTAAATGCAAAACTTAAAAAGCTGACCGAAATGCTGTCTGTAGCGTGTCTGTCGGAGCAGCTTTGAGGTGTGCCACAGCTTTAGGGTCTGGAATGAAAAGAAAATGTTAGATATTTCTTCAAAAGAATGCTCAAATAACCTCCGGGCCAGTGGTGGTAGCATGTCTGTAACCCCAGTACTTGGAAGGCTAAGGTAGGAGGGTTGCCTCAAGTTTAAGGCCAGCCTGGGCTACATAAATACCAGGCCAGTCTGGGTTACACAGTTAGACACTGTCTAAAACAAGACAAAAAACAAAACACAGTGTCTTTGACCCCCTTGGTAGGAGACAGTCTCATGAACCTGTAGGCTCCTGAACTCTTCAGTGAGCTACCAAATCAGAAATGCTAGACGTGAGATCCAGAGATCTGAATTTTATATGACAATCCCTTCGACCCTCCATTAAGTAACTCTTCTGTCCTAGGCCTGAC